ATCTCTTCCCACAGAAGTAGTCAATTTGACTTCTGTGTAATCCATCTGGAGAAGCTTTTGTATTGTTGAAAAATGGTATTTGCTATGAACAAATCACTGGTCTTGCAAAATTCTATCAAGTGATACCTAGCTTCATTTCTAATACCAAGGTCATATTTTCCAGCTACAGTTCGTTCCTCTTTGTTTTCAAATTTCACATTTCAATTGCCAATTATCAATGCATCTTGATTTCATGTTTGATCAATTTTAAACTGAAGACTTGGTAAAATTCTTTCATTTCTTTATCACTAGCTTTAGTGACTGGTCCATAAATTTGAATAATAGCTATATTGATTTGATTTCCTTGGATGGGGATAAATTTTATTCTATCATTCAGCAGTGTCCTTTCAAGAAAGCTCTTGAAGTATCTTTTTGATGAGGAATGCAACACCACTCCTTTTGATTGTATCATTCCTAGCATAGTAAACCTAATGATTTTGATTCAAAATGGCCAATACCAGTCGATTTCAGCTAATTAATGCCTAGAATGTCAATCTTTATGCATTCCATTTCAATTTTGACAATTTTCATTTCCTAAATTTATACTTTGCATGTTCCAAGTTCTGATTATTAATTGATGCTCGCCGTTTTCTTCTCATTTTGAGATGCACTCCATCAGCAAATGTGAGTCCCGAAGACTTCACCCCCTCCATATCATTACAGTCAACCCTACTCTGAAGTTTTCAAATTCAAGTAATTCCAATTCCAATGCTAAATAAAATGTAAGGGGTAATTTTTATTATAAGACTTAATAAGAAGTGCAGCCCTGGTGGTTCATTGGTTAAACACTTGGCTGCTGACCGGATGGTCAGTGGTTCAAACCCAGCAGGAGGCAGTTATGGCAGTCAGCTTCAGTAAAAGACTTAATAAGAATACCTACTATGCCAATGTGCATTTGACTCTCTGATATACAGAGAACAGTGTACAGAGGTAGCCAAACTCCAAAGTTAAAAGTAGTTTTGGTTTTTTTCCTAAGCTATTGCATGTTGCTTCTATGTCGCCATTCATTCAACCCTCATATCCTCTCAATCTGAAAAACTCTTCTTCTTCTCATCTCTTCTCTCAACCTGAGAGCACAACACTAATTCAAAATAGTACACCTTCATGCTCACTCTTCTACTAAAAAATAAAAATGATCTTATACTAAACATGCTGCTTGAGGATACAAAGATAAAGACTAGAGATAAAAGAAAATGAACAAAATAAAAATGTCAACTGCATCTCTAAAATACAAACTAATTTATTATATTGAAGACACTTTATTTCATTACAACAAAAATCTATCAGCATCAATAGCACAGATAAAATTGTTTCGCACAACTGGACTAAAACCAGAGACCAACGCACTGCCATTGAGCAACCCTGAAGGACAGGATGGAACTGCTTCTGTGAGTCTCTGGAATTGTAGCTTCTGTTTTAAGCACAGAGATATTTTACTTTTTCAAGCTGGGGACATATATATTTATTCTATTAAAACAAAATGTCTTACTAAAGATAATTTTGATTTTGATAATATGTATAGTGAATATTCATCTAGGACTATTACGAGACAGAAAATCTAGTGAATATTTTCATATATTGTTCATGATCCTCACAATAATACTGCAGGTTAGATGTTGTTATTAGTAAACTGAAACTCAGAAATGTTAAGTGATTTGAGAAGCATAGTAACAAATAAATGAGTCACAATCTGAACTCAAGGGTGTCTGTTTCCACAGCTTATGCTTCTGTTATTCATAAAAGTCATCTCCAATCAATAAATATTTAGCAAATTTTATAACTCAAAAAATGTCCTCAATGTGGTAAGCAAGAAAGACACACGTAGATGTGGTACTTTATTTCACTAATAAGCAATCTAAGATTTCAGATTAAAAGAAAAATTGCCTATGAAGAGATAAATCATCTTTCCCACCACCCCCCAACAGCTTTATTAGCATATAATTCACACATCATGTACAATAAACCTTGAAGAGAATGTACAGAGCAGCAACCTCTTGGTTCCAAAAAGTAAATGATAGCAGGTAAGCTGGGAAGCAAGACAGAACCAAAGTTCCACTGAACCTAAGAGTTTATCCTCCCCTTCGTATAAAAGAAAGATACAGACGGAAAGAGCACCATTCCGTATAACCCATGGGAGAAGCAGAGAAGGCCCCTCGACAATTTAAATTGTCACAGAAGTAAATGTCCTTAATGTGACAGAGGTCAGTGACAAAAACCACAGTGAATATTAATCATGTGTAAAAACAAGGCACCAGGGGGAGGGGAGGGGACAGAATCGTTGCCAAAGGGAGACCAAAAAAAAGACACCAAAGACTGTTCCCTAGAGTACCAGTAAGAGCACATCACCTGTCACCCTCCTCCTCAAAGCTGGACCGACTGGCTGTCCTAGGAAGTGCAGTAACGCAAGAAAAACAAATGAAAGATATACACAGTGGAAAGAAATAATAAAATGGTCCCTGTTTACAGAAGACATCATCTATGAGAAAATCCCAAGCAATCTATCACAAAAGCTCCTAGAATTTTTTAAAACCCTTGAGTTTATCAAGGTTGTATACAGTCTACAGTATCACCTTTCCATATAAACGTAACATGTAGGATCTAGATGTTTAACAACTACAAAACACTGAAAGAAAAACTTTTTTTAAAGATCTAAATAGAAAGAAAGACTGCGTTAATGGATTCGAAGAGACAGAATACAGTTACAGTGTCAATTCCCCAAACTGATGTACAGGTTTTAGAGCAATCCTCATGGAAGTGCACCAGGATTTTCTTGCATATAACTAAGCTGTTTTAAAATGCATATGGAAAAAGTATGCCGAGGACTTTCATCCAGCCCGCCAGGTTTTTGCCCCATTTGTTTTTTTTTTAACTTCAAAATAGGGTATGTGCAGTGTGCATAGGAATCTGTTCATAGTTTTTCTAAAACTATATAGTCCAGCCCTCCAATGGGTCTGAGGGACAGTGAACTGGCCCCCTGTTTAAAAAGTCTGAGGACCCCTAAAAAGTATCAATTCAATGGTTTTTATTATGTCCATAGGGTTATAAAACTATCAGCCCAATATATAACTTATAGTATTTTTGCCCCTCCTGGGTGTGTAAAGGTGGAGGGCACTAAAAAAACAACAACAACAACAACCTCTACCCATAGTAGTTACTCTCCACTCTCCCTGAACTACTCATCTATTTGCTCTCTTTTTGAAATGTTTCTATTTTATGATTTCACTTTGCTTGGTTATGACATAGGACTCTGAGTCACATGGTAACACAATGCTTAACTTTGTGAGAAATTGCTTGAGCCTGCCAATGTGTGTACTCCTGGATGATTCCTCCCTCAACTACCAGGACCCAGTTCTACCGTACAAAACCTGCTAGACCAGAGTACACTAATTGGTACAGATAAGAGCTCTCAACACATGGAATTCAGGACAGATCAAACCCTCAGGAACTGTAGTGGGAGTAGCAACATCATGAGGGTAGCGGGCTGGGGGGCTGGGGGCTAGGAGCTGGTGAAAGGGGACTGCATCATAAAGTTGGATATATAGCCTTCCTCAAGTAGAAAGAAAATGTTTTGGAAATATTGATGGCAGCATATGTACAAGTGTGTTTAATACAATTGAATGATGAATTGTTATAAGATTTCTAAGAGCCCCCAGTAAAATGATTAAGGAAAAAAAACCACATGTATTTAACTACTGGAAAGTGACTTACCCCAAAATATTTCTCTACTCCACAGCTCTAGTGTATTAAAAAAAATTCCCCTATTAATATACTAAATTATCACATTAAAAACTTATATACTTAAATAGCTGCATTTAAAGCAAAATATATAAACTTCAATAAGCTACAAACTCCTTTTATATCCACAGAGCCACCCCAGGAATGCAGGAAAGGTCTTCCCTACTAGTTAAGGCTTTTAAAAAAAGAATTATGCCCATTCTCTTTCCCCTAATATGCATGCCTTAAGCCAAAAAAAAGTATTGCCAAAAATTACATATAGGCTTAATAGTAAGATTCTGATTAATGTCACAGCAGACAAAAATATGCATTAATTATAAACTTGTAATAGGGAATAAGGGTTGATTTCCAATTAGAATCTCCAAATATTGGTTTTAGAAGGTCACAGAATAAATGAATTTGATGACTAGTATCCACTAACAGATAAATGAAATTATTTCAGCTTTAGATAATTTCGCTGCTTTCTATCTAGTAAGACCTCTGAATACAGAAGAAAAGAGGTAGGGTTAAGATACTATCAATTTAAATATGCTAGTGTAAAAATAAGTACATAAATCAAAATTAAATGAACCTAACTTAAAAAATAATATAGGTAACCTAGAACCGAAACCAATTTGTCCAATTAAAAGCACTGGGTGGGTGCATGGGGGTATCACAAATAGTATGGGTAAGCAAAACTAAAGAACAATCTTAATAAAACAAAGCAGGGGTCTGACATCACTTAACAAATAAGGGTACCATTTTAGTTAACACTTCATCCCACCCCGATCTCTAATATAAAGTGAAAAGACAGTATCAAAAGGCGTGTTTAAAACTCGTTTCTACTTTGGAAATAGGTAGTCTCTGAGTTCACTAAGCATAAAATAAATGATTTCTAAAGTACTAACATATTAAGCATAAAAGCCTACAAAAAGCAGTAAAAATCACTTATAACATATAGAATGATCCCAACCCTTATGTCTTCCCAACTTCTAACTCCAAAACTGACTATATGATGACTTTTACATTTTGTAATTTCCAAAAACATGCCAATGTAGGGGATATTTCCAACCCAGATCTTCTATCTTCTGATTCTATTCAACTTATCTACCAACTCAACTAAGTCACAGAAAGCCAGGACCAGAAAATCATGAATGGTAGTTGTGGTAACAAGCAGCTTACCAGCTTGCAATGCAGAAACAAATACACAAAGAGCAAAGCAACCCCATTTATAAAGTGGTACCTACGTTCTCTCCTGTGCTCAACTAAGCCCACAGCCTGCTTTGCTGAGCACTTTGCAAACCAGTTGTCCCCAAGTAAAGCAGTGACTTCATTAGTATGGACAAGTTTTCCTGGCATGAAGGCAAAGGGGCCAAATGGTACCTGTTGTTTTAAAAAAAGAAACAAAAAAATTTAAGAACACTAAAAAATAATTTCTAAAACACTTAGCATTACCAGTCCTAATTTATTGTGATCCTTTTTCATCTATAAACTAGAAAAATAAGATTTCAATTCCCCAGAAATTTGACATTATAGTAAAACTTGACAGTCTACAGAAAAGTATTCTAAATTACGAAATCAACAGGAAAACAGAAAAAGATTACCATATTGTGTACATATAGCTTTCAGAGAAATTAATATTTCCCTGAAACGTTTATACTTTGCATTTATTTATATATCTAAATGTAAACAACTAATAGCAAGTTATTAAGTTAATATAGAATGTCTAACAAAGAAAACTGGAAATATTTCTAAAAGCAAAAGTTAACAAATAATAACTTTAATGAATCTACTACAGTAGCTATATATTTATAAAATATCCAGGTGAATAAAACAAAAATAAGAACAAAGTCTTCAGGAGAAAGAGTATCCATGCAATGAAAGATGATAATCCAGGATATATCAACAAATCACTATGGTGATACAGAAATCGTTAAGACAAAAATTAGCAGTACCTTTTTTCATAAAAATTAATGTCCTAGAGTTTAATTCTGTGAATTACAAAACATTATGACAATTCTTGCTCTGGCTAACAGAAAATGACTAAGTGATGTATTTCTGCCATAATTAGTTTTCTGCATAATAGAATTGTACACCAAACGTCATTTACATCACCATAATGTGATAATTTAATAAAACAAAGGAAAATACGTATATGCCAAGTATCACTACAGTACATACATTTCTATAAAGTAACAGTAAGCACCTTTTTTGTTCTGATACATTAAACATTATTACTTACTTTCAAAGAAAAAATATCAAACATACCATGATATTATAAGACAACTTATCAGGCAATGTACTGAGTCTTTCTTGAAGAGCATTATAGTCATTGTCTACCTTCGTCCTGTTGGCAAAAAATACCAAATACTAAATAAATTAGCAATTCTTCCATTAAACTTTGTACTAAAAGCAAATTTATCAAGAAGCTAACCAGCAATTTACAGATCAAAGAATTTTTAAATTTCAAAACCCTGTTTCAATAGTATTGTTCTACTATATACTTATTATGTAAGGAATTAACACTCTCAGGACTAGGGCTTTTAAATCCTGAGACTAAGTGTTTCTTAGTGTAGAGCATCTGGATTTATAAATGAAGTTTGGATATTGAGGGGTACTGGAGGCCTGGTGATGGGTATGGGCAGGGCTGCATCAGCATGGGTGGCAGCTGGAAACCAGCAGCAGCTCCACAGGTGAAAGACTGGGGCTTCTTCTGTTTTGGGCTCAGGAACCCACAGTGGGGGGCCGCAATGAATCAGCACTGACTAGATGGCAGTGAGTTTGGCTTTTGGTTTATTGAGGGATAGATACAGTGAATGAAGACCTTAGGTTCTAATGGGGAAAGGCACTCAAGATGAAGGAAGAGCTTTAACAATACTTTTGAATGAACAAACACTGGCTGTGGTGCAAAAATCATGAACATGAAATTTGATCACATGCTTTAGTCCTCATCAGAAAACTGAGGCTGAGAAATGTGGTGTCAACCCTTCAAGAATTCACATTAATGTGATTAAGGTAAGAGAGACTCAATGAGGCACAGGAAATTATTAGTGGTAGTAATACAAAAAGGATTTCAACCTGAATTTATAGTCTGCTTTATGTTTTATCAAAAGAGTGGTACCTAGTAAATTAATTTCCAACACCCAAAAGCTGTAATTCTGAAGGCGCAGAGGCAGTTAGGCCCGTGGGTCCCTGCTTTGTGCATGCTGCCAGGCACCCACCTCTGCTATCTCCTAGGTTGCTATGGAGCTTAGTTTCCCCGGGTCCCCTAGTGTGAGAAACCTGAGAGCTGAAATGTCCGTAAACAAGCAAAAAGTTGTCCATTTAAAATAATGCACAGATACTGTCAGATTGAGATTAGGATAAACTACAACACAGATAATCTCTCTCCAGATAATAAAAATGACTGTTCTATACACATCACTGAATTGGTTTAGGTGGACTGCTGTTCCCCTAAAGCAGCGGTTCTCAACCTGTGGGACTCCCTTTGGGGAGTCTAACGACCCTTTCATAGGTGTCACCTAAGACCATCAGAAAACACGTATTTCACAATATATAATTACATAGTGTTTTGTCATTAATCATAATACTTTAATTATGTCTAATTATGTTCAATTTGTAACAATGAAAATACACCCTGTATATCATACATTTACATTATAATTCACAACAGTATCAAAATTACAGTTATGAAGTAGCAGCGAAAACCATTTTATGGTTGGGAGTCACAACCTGAAGAACTGTCTTAAAGGGTCGCGGCATTAAGAAGGTTGAGAGCCACTGCTCTAAAGCAATAGTAGCATAATTAATTAATAAGAATTGTCCCGTTTAGTCTTAGGGATCTCAAGAAACTTTACATATATGTGATTCATTCTAAAATATATTCTTAATATAAATGTCAATGATCAGTTTTTTTCTGTTACAGAAGAGAAACTAGAAAGAAAACATAAAAATCACAATTGAAGAGAAACCAGGTTTACATCAAGGGAAGATAAGCAATGAAGTTAACCTAGCTTGTCTGACTTGCATTTTTAAACAAGCTCTGAAACAGGAGCCCTAGTGGCACAGTCGACCTGGTGGCACTGCCACAAGGTCAGCAGTTAGGAACCCGTTAGCCACTCCACAGGAAAAAGACGAGGCTATCTGCTCCAAAACAGCCTTGAGAACTCTACAGAGGGTCATTATGATTTGTAATTGATGTGATGGCCATGGAAAACTCCTTCCCCAAATTATTTTTCATAAACAAAATATAAATCTAGAACCACCACAAACTTAATTAGCATAAATCTCTCAAGCCTATTTACTTATATAGACATACTTCTTTTGGCTTTGCCAAACATGAGTGGGGGAATGGGTGGGGGAATTTGATCCTTATGGATTAGGCTTAGCCTTCAATTCTTAATTTAAAATTATATCCAAGAAGTAAAATTTAATTTGTATAAAATCTATTGATATAAGGTATATTAGTCACATCTTTGTTTTTGCTGGGTTCTGCCTATCGTATGCTGTTATGTCTTATGAAAATGCACCTTTAAATTTGCCTTAACTTTAAAAGATGAAGATCAGGGCATGTTCCATGAGATAAAATTGCAAAAAGTGTCACTGAGAGCTGGTTAAATTACGTACATACTTCGCATTTAAGGAACAAAGTTTATTCATGTCCACATTTTGCCTTCAAATGTACCGTGTGTGTGTGTGTGTGTGTGTGTGTGTGTGTGTGTGTGTGTGTGAGATAGCGGTATGGAATCAGAATTCATCTACACAATTCTCTTGGACTTTTCTGTATGTTTTAAGGTCTACATGATTTGATTCCAATCTGCAACTTTAATAAAAATGGAAAGTAAAGCTTAAATTATTGATTTAAACAGTAAGCTAATTCCACTTTAAAGTGGAAAGGAATAGTAGACAGAAAATTTTAACATTAGCATTTTGTTTGTTTGGTTAGTCTCTAATTATAGTCTTTCCCTTTAGGTTACTACAGAGAACACCCTAAATTGAAGAACAGATCAGTCCCATGAGTGCTTAAAACGAGGGGAGAAAGGGAAAAGGGTTCATCTGCAGTAGAAAGTCCCCCATCCTTCCCCCCACTGCCCACCCCGCCCCCAGATTTTGTAATCTATATATGACCTTAGAAATGATTTTTGGGTCTACTTTCTAAATAAATATAAAAATGTAGACTATTTCAGAGGCTAATGAAACAAAGTTTTCTAAAGAGACGGATGTAACCAATATCTGCAAGATTTCTTCCTTTTTGCTTTTCAACAGGCAACAGAGTGGAATGGACATAAAGAACAGAACTGAGAGGGTTAACGTCTTTAGTGTTCTCCCTGCCACAGCAAGATCATGTGGCTGTGCTAGTTTCTTCATTCATCAAGAGTCAGTGCTTTAAGTAAAAAGTAAACTGTGAAGTCAAAGTCAAAATGTCTTAAAATTACATTGAAAGTAGCACAAGTGTTTACTTAAAACAAAAAACCTCAAAGTGCCTAAAGTCCATTCGCTTTGTATGTGGCATTAATTTTTCATTTTACAACAACTGTTATCTAGTTCTGCTACAAATTGGAAGAAGGCATCTCCTAGACAAAGTTATGAGTTTACAAATGACTTAAACTTTGCATAGTTGTCCGTATTTAAATCTAAACATAAAAAACAGTCCCTAAATTTGTCTCCCTCAAAGATATGGATTGACACTGGCTCCCACAATGGGCTCGTGCATGGGAACAACTGTGAGAATGGTGCAGGACCAAGCAGTATTTCGTTCTGTTGTGTAAAGGATAGTCCCGTCCCCAAGGATTGGAACCGACTCGGTGGCCAACTAAAAGCAACAAAAAAAATGTGTGTAGCACTTAAGAATTAAATGATCACTTTGACCAAAAAAGGGAAAATTTAGTTTTAAAGGTGTGTGAGCCCACACTTTACAGATTATGTGTAATAAATGAAATTGGGTGAAACAGACCAAAGTCAAGCTCAGAAAACATTGTATTGTTGTGGTGTAATAGTTCATTGCTTTTGTGGAGCAAGGATGCCCTCAAACACTTCACGATATGAGCATATTCATATGTATACGCACACAGTATCCTGACTGACTGGAAAGAATTCCCCCAAAAGGAAATCAACTAATTTTCACCTGGGATGTTAACTAATTTGGTATGCCTTCTTGGTTATTTCCTCCTACATACTTTAGATATGAACTATTTTAGAAACCAGCTACTCTCTTTTTCAAAACAAAATTGAGGGGGGCAGTTTCCTTTGAAAAGTAGCAAATATCAACTATTTGCTTTAGAATTCCTCTCAAAATGTATATGCTCAAGTGTTTCAAAATTGTGCACAAATTTGAGGCTATTTTCCCTAAAATTAAAACAACAAAACAAAACAAGAGGACAAGTTCAAAGGTACTGCTACGATCATAGTAACTTCTATTTTTTTTAAATACCAAAATGCAAAGAAAGCTACTGTTTCTCAGCATTTCCTCCATCAAGCTCTATAAACTTCTGTCTCTCTCTAAGGCTTACTGAACAATTCTGTGCACTTTGATTCATAACCCATCAAGGTGGCAGTTTGCACATTCTTGAGGGACTAGAATCGTCGTATTCCTTTGAATGTTCCAAGTGGGGGAACAAAAAGAAGTCTAAAGGGACAAGATCAGGGCTGCAGGCTGGGTCAGGTAAGGTTTGTCAATGACATCCTCCTATTCGTGAGGAGTGAGCAGGTGCACTGTCGTGATGGGAAAAATTCCTCATCTCTCAGCCCAACTTCCCTAGCCTTTTTCTCACCAGTAGCTTCACATTTTCTTAAAGCGTCTTCATATGCCCTCATGATCACAAGAAAGTCCATCAAGATCACCCCCTTGGCAATTCCAGAAGACAGTCCCATTACCTTCTGAGCTGACTACGCCTTGAATTTAACTGGCCCGGCAGATCAGATCTCCTCCTAAGTCACTCTTTTGATTGGGCTTTGTCTTTGAAGGTACCCGAGAACTCATCTACAGCCATCCTCTGATTGCAGAGACACATTGAAACATATTTTGTTTGAATTAAACCTGGACATGTATAAACTAGAATCCTAGTAGCAGTATTTTTTTTGACTTATCCTCACAAAATGGGGTTTTCACTTAGATCTGCAATATACAATTTCAGAGAGAACTTTCCTACTTAAACATTCTTTTAAGATGGCATAAAGGAAGCAAAGCTGGAATTTATTTTGTACTTATGTACATGTATTACATCACTTTACAAGAAGAAAATGGAGAATATCCTAATAACTTGCCCAACATTATAAAGTAAGTGATAGAATTTATATGTAGGTCTGTGACTCCAAATCCCGTTCTTTAGGGAAAATTTGATAATCCACATACAGAATCATCAGCTTTTATCGACCAAACAGTAGGAAGCACCCACATTTCAGTGACAAAATAGTATGCGGATTTTGGAAATACTTTCTTGGCTTAAGTTAAAAGAATTTTGGAAAACAAAAAGGTTTATCACCGCCCCCCCCACCACCACAGCCCATCCTCACTAAATTGGTAATCACTGCATCTATTGGTTCTAAAAACAGCGCTGTACAAATTTTCCACTATTAGGCTAAATCACTCCATTTTTATCTGTTATTAAAGAAATATTTTACACATTCTAATCCACCTAAATTCTAGGATTTTAATTTTAATTCATCACCTGGAAGAGATTTTTTTCTTAGTATATCACAATGTTCCAAATAACTTTTATTCCTTTTTCTATAGACATTTTTATTTCCTGCTCCACATGCACCAAAAAAAAAATTTTTTTTAGGCTAAATGAAAGAATCCTTTAATTTATACAAGGAAGCATCAAAAGTACTAGCATTAAGGATGTATTTCTTAAAGCATGCATTTTGTTCTTCTTTATTAAGAATTTTAGATTGATATGTACCCATAAGGGGAGCTCTGCCATCCGGGTTACATTTTAGACTAAGAAAACCACCAAGGGTTAAGGAACAATGCAAAGCAACATGCTTTTAGAATCAGTGAGAGACACAGCAGTCTCTGACCCCCTCTGCAGTTGCTCTCTGCGAAACCACAGAATCACTGTGAATTCCTCCATGGCAAGGTTTTTCGATTCCAAACAGCCAGCACTACACTGGCACATGGTTGTAACTCAATCATTCTTTGTGGAATTAAGGGAATGTAAAAATACCATGAGTTCAGTAAACCTCCCAAATAGAAATTTCTTGCTTTCCATTTTTAAATATAATGCATTGGGCGTTTGTTGATCATCTAGACGCTGGCAATACCATGATCCCATATACAGATACTCATTACAAACCAACACAGAAGTCTTTTTTCCTAAGTCATTTCAGAAATGGCTCAAAAAAAAAAAAAAAAAAAGCAAATTCTAACCAAATAATCATCTTTTAAATGTTTTTAGTATATAGCTATGTGTATGCAAATACACTAAATTTCTGTAGCTTGGGGACTTTGAGCATTAGAGAATGGGATTGAAGGTTCCATGAATCCATCTG